ACACACACACACACACACACACACACACACACACACACACACACACAATGGATTATTACTCAGCCATACAAAAAGAAGGCAATCCTGCCATTTGCGACAACATGGATGGACCTTGAGGGCATTATGCCAAGTGAAACTGAAGTAAGTCAGACAGAGAAAGACAAATAACTATATGACATCACTTATATAGGGAATGAAAAAACTTAAAAAACACAATACAAACCATCACCACAACCACCAAAACAAAAACCAAACTCATAGAAAAAGAGATCAGATTTGTGGTTACCAGAGGCAGGCAGTGGGGGAGGGGGATTGGATGAAGGTGGTCAAAACGTACAAACTTCCAGTTATAATATAAATAAGTACCAGGGATGTAATGTACAACATGATGACTACAGTTAAGCCTGCTGTATGGTATATATGAAAGTTGTTGAGAATAAATCCTAAGAGTTCTCATCACAAGGAAATAAAAGAACTAAAATACCTAGAACTAATTGACAATGAAAAACACTACAATCAAAGTTGTGAGACAAACCTAAAGTAGTGGGAAATTTATATATCTACATAGAACAGGACACAAGAAAAATTAAAACTAACATCAAGGAAAAAAATTTATGGCCCTACTCCATGGCCCAACAAGTAGGGAGCTTAGACTTCCACCCCTGCCCAGCTGTACTTAAGTGTCCCAATCTCTACTCCACTGGGATGGTGTCTGCGGAGGCCTAGAAGGGAGCCTGAACTCCCAATCCTGCCCAGCAAACATGAGGCTTGCCCCACCCTAGGTGGCATATCAAGGGAACCTGAACTTCCATCCCCACCTTCCTGCAGTACCAGAGGACTGACTGCTAAAACAGAAGAGTTACATAGCCTCATAATATCCAAAGAATATAGATATAACTGAAAAATCACTTGTCATACCAAGAACCAGGAAAATCTCAGCTTGAATAGGAAACAATAATCAACAGAAAGCCACACCAGAAACAGACGTTGGAATTGCCTGACAAGGATTTTAAAGTAGCCATTATAAAAATGCTTCAACAGGCAATTATGAACATGATTGAAACAAATGAGAAACAAGAACAGCAAGTCTCAGCAAAGAAAAAGAATCAAATGGACATTTTAGAACTGAAAGATACAATATCACAGTCCTTGAGCAAAAAAGAACCTGCATAACTAACCTCCTGGGGCTTCTTTGGACTAGCTGCCTCTTCGGGACTGGCCCCAGCCACGCTCTTCCTCCGCTTCCTATTTCCACGTGGGGACTCCTCTTGCGATCGGTCTGGTCTTTTCAACGTTGACGGGATGGTGGAGCTACACGTGGAAGGGGAGTCAAACAGCTTGCAACGATTGCCCTTGGTGGGGGGGGGGGGGGGAAGAGACCCATTTAATGTATTTCATTAACATACACTCACTTGAATGGTAAAGAGAATAGATCAAGGACTTCCTGGGATGGTTTAAGATTGATCCATCCTAAATTAGGAAACAGACACTGTCCATTTATCTAGTGCCTGGCACATTGTAGACACCAAGTCCCTGGTGTTCAATGAACATGTTCTAAAGCTGACATTATATGGAAATGAGGAAGACTATCCATGCCCTCAAAAGCCTACTGTCTGCACAGGGTCCTAAGCGTCAAATAACTGTTACCTTCCAGCCAGGGACACATTTTTGGCTTCCTCTTCCCTTCTAGTTTATTACTTGCACTTTGCTGGAACAGCTTGAACAGGCTTTAACAGCCCACCTTAATCCAGAAGGGTGTGCGGTAGCTGGATTATACTATAAATCAGAGCCAGTTAAGGTGGTAAAATAGAGTTGAGTCTAAGTTTGCAGGGGGCAGGGGTGCCTTCAAAACTGTGTTCAAAAGTCCTTCTCTCTACTTGTTTGTTTTCTTTCTGGATTGTACCAAAGCTTTTTTTTTTTTTTTTTTGTGGTACGCAGGCCTCTCACTGTTTTGGCATCTCCCGTTGCGGAGCACAGGCTCCGGACACGCAGGCTCAGCGGCCATGGCTCATGGGCCCAGCCGCTCCGCGGCATGTGGGATCTTCCCAGACCAGGGCATGAACTCGTGTCCCCTGCATCGGCAGGTGGATTCTCAACCACTGCGCCACCAGGGAATCCCTGTACCAGAGCATTTTAACTCAAGACTTACAAAGCCAAAGGAAATACACGAAGATGTGCTATAGTACTTGATCTTTTAAAGACTAATTTCTCAGAGTCTGAGGGCAGCCCACCTGACTAGGGGTAAAGACAGTCTGACTTCAGCTCTCTAAACTCATCTCAGCCCGTTCACAACTCAGTGTTCCTTGGCAGGGCTTTTCCTTCTGTGCTGAATGCCCTTTCATACCCTGTAAACCACTCCCTTTCAAGCTGATACTAAAATTTCAGTGTTGCCTCTTCTTTGAAATGTTCCTGATAGTCACCCAGCAAGTGTGTCACTCCCACACTGGCTCTCCTAGAGACCAAGGATTTTCCCCTTATTTTTCTGAAGTTTATTTTAACAGTATGTTGTTCAGAAAAGCAAGGTCAGTTTTGTCTTGTTGTTTTTTACCTAAGAGAGCTGGAAGCATTTTTGGGGAGAGGGCTTACTGCTTTCAATAGGATCTCAGAGGAACTGTAAGCTCCTCAAGGGCAGAAACCCCAGTTCCAACTCAGCCCCTGGCAATTGTGAGTCTACTATGTTTGTGAAAGGAAACCCCCCACTGTGAAGGGCCCACACATACTATTCATGATTTTTAAATCCAACGTATAAAACTGATAGCCATTTCCTAAGCATTCTCACACTGTATATAATTTTGTCTTTCAAAAGGACCTAGTAAATTTCATCATAACATTTGTACTGGGGTAGCCTATTCCCTCAGAGCTTTGCACATTAATCTACTATAATGTGTAAGTGGCTTCAAGACTGTAGTTCATTTGTTCCATATTTATAGTTCAGGGACACTGATACTTAAAAATATACTTATCAGGGCTTCCCTGGTGGCACAGTGGTTGAGAGTCCACCTGCCAATGCAGGGGACACGGGTTCGTGCCCCGGTCCGGGAAGATCCCACATGACGCAGAGCAGCTGGGCCTGTGAGCCATGGCCGCTGAGCCTGCACGTCCGGAGCCTGTGCTCCGTGACGGAAAAGGCCACAACAGTGAGAGGCCCGCGTACCACACACACACACAAAATATATATATATATACACACACATATACTTATCAATTTATATGTATACCTAAGGGTGTGTAACTGTATTTGTATTGTGATACTATCTCACTTTCCCTAGGTGTTTGCATAAATGAGGATATGTTCCTGTACAGGCACAGCCTTGCGTCTGACTGTTTGAAAGTGTCCCTGATGGAAACAGAAGCCTACAGTCTATATAGATAGGTGGGTATTTAAAAAAAAATATATATATATATATATATGTAGATAGAGAGAGAGAGAGACAGAGACAGAGAGAGAGAGAGAGATTTTGTGAGTTACTGTTGTTTGCCAAGTGTGCTGATGCTAAGGAATGTAAATAAATGAGAATGATATAAAAAAGTAATAAACAAACAACAACAAAAAAGTAAACAGTCTTCAGACTAAAGGCTTCAGATTGAGAAGGTTTTTTCAGGGAATTCCCTGGCAGTCTAGTGGTTAGGATTCGGCGCTTTCAATCCCTGGTTGGGGAACTAAGATCTTGCGAGCCGTGCAGCGAGGCCAAAAAAAAAAAGACTAATTAATTCCTCTTCAAATGAAGCCTTTCTGTCCCAACTTATTCAACCAGTCCATAATATCTATCACAGTCTGAGTCTCCTCCTTCTACTGGGTGTTCTCTGAATGTGCTCCAGTCTCTCCACATTCTCTCAGCTGTGGAAAGTAAAACAATACGGTAGTCCAGTGTGTCCTCTCCTTCCCCATCAGAACAGGGCAGGGCTAACATCTCCTTTTTCTGTTCTGGGCCAGGGTTCTCCAGTCAACACTCCTAAGAAAGGATAGCGCTATCTGCTACAGAGCCATCGGCTGGGTGGGTACAGATGGTACCTGTAGCAGAAGTCTTTCTATTCCTGCTGCCTGAGATCAAATTCCTTGTCAGATACAAACTGCTCACCCACGAAGCTGTCAGTTAAAATCTAAGCTGATACCAAATCTGACAGTTTGAGAATAACTGAGTCTCTTAAATTCAGTTTAGCAGATATTTTCCAGCACTATCCAGTCATCTTAAAGAAGTTAATAGAGAGGTCAGAGTTGTATAGAAAAGACATTAACTGACCAAGAACAGTTGAGATGAACTAGAAATTATAAAAACAAGAACTGCATGCATTTTATATTACCCAGACTTCCTCACACTCCAATGAGGACAAAAACAAAAACAAAAACAACTCCAAACAAACTTGAAAAAACAGTGTGCATTAACACCAGGAAACACTAGCGACCAGTCAAGGGAAAGGCCCATAGACCCAACCACAGAATCTCAAAAGAAACAATTTTGATTCCTGTGGCTCCCTCTAGACACACTGGGACTTACCAGGTTTGTAGTTCTTCTCATGACAAGGGGAGCTGTCCAGAGGCTTGCCATGCAGGACGGGGTCTCTTCATCATTCTAAACAAAGAAAAACTGCGTCACAAAGGTCCAGCAGAGACAACATTAATTTAAATGCTTTAGAATTCTTCCTGCAGAATACCAGAAAGACCTGGATAGGAAGCATTCTAATGTTCACCCCCTTCCCCGTCCCCAACATTTTAAGGTCAGAAAAGAGTAACACTTAACAGTCCCGTTATCTGAGCATAGCTAAAGGTATGCCCCTGAGGGACCGTGAGGAGGCACCCTGTTCTCCTCAGCTTTACACCACATGGCAGCTATTCTTCCACTGTTCCTGATTCATATCTCTTGCCAGAAAAATGGATTGTCAGCTCCTTCAGGGTAAGAAGAATCACATCAGTGTCTTCTTTTGAACTCCTCCATAGGATTTAATCAGGCTAGAAGCAGAGTCTCAATAAATTCCCAACAAATGAATAAAAATATCCGCCAGTTGGGGGATCACTGTTCCTTTTCAGATGACTTCTCTCCAGGGTAGTCAGTAAAATGGATGGGAAAACACACACACATAGTACCTTCAGATTCTCTCCATCGAGAAGATCCATGAAGCCATCATCCTCATCAGACAAAGTGGCAGTCACAGGGGAGTGGGGCATAAAAAAAGGAGTGAAATGCCCTGGTTCACTGCCATCTCTTTCATTTGAGGAAAGCTACAAGACAGAATTCATGGCTTGTTAATAAATAATTAGCTTTGACTTCCTTGGATGGGTCACTAGTTTTTATGAGGAAAACATATTATATTTTTTGTAAGAAGTTTCAGCAGCTCTAATCAAAGGAAAATGAAACCTAAGATTATAAATGAATTGATGTCCACACACAGTTCTGAGTAGAGTCAGGCCAAGTAGCCTTCACAAAGAACACTCCCCAGGAGCAATTCACCTTACAGTGAGATCTGGGGCTAGCCTCTTGTGAAGGGCAAGGTTTGTTTTTTCTGAGGATCATAATTGGTGAACAGGGATCAGCATGGAGGTTGTGACAAAGTGATAATCTGCTAAAATGAGGAAGGGTGAGAAGATACCAAGTCTCTATGGAAACCACAGAATGGACTAGAGAATGCTTCTGTAACTCCAGTCCTGACAGAGGGATATAAAGTCAAGAAAGTTCTAGAAAGTCCATCCTAGGGACTTCTCTGGTGGTCCAGTGGTTAAGAATCCACCTTCCAATGCAGGGGACACAGGTTCGATCCCTGGTTGGGGAACTAAGATCCCACATGCCATGGGGCAACTAAGCCAGAACGCCACAACTAGAGAGCCCACGTGTCGCCAACTACAGAGCCCACGTGCTCTGGAGCCCATGTGCTGCAACTAGAGAGAAGCCTGCGAGCTGCAACAAAAGATCCCGCATGCCGCAACAAAGAAAGTCCATCCTAGACTTGGAACTGGAATTTAAATGACAGTTGCTCACTTTTAACTGAGGAATTACTTGTGCCAGACACTAGGATATAACCTTTTATGTATAATCCCATTTAAGCCTCACAATACACTAAGGGTAGTTAATCCTGTTCTTTTTATTTAACGAATCAGGAAACCAATGCTTAAGAGAGGTTACCAAGGTCACACAGCTCACCTGTTTGACCACAAAGCCCAAGCTTTTCTCCCCACTATACTCTCCCTAAGAGAGACCATTCCTGGAGTCAAAATATAGAGTATATCTCATTAAGCAACACTATCTTGTTTTTCAGGTAAAACCCCCATTATAAAATGAATATATATTTAGTATAGAAAATTTATAAAAACCACTCAAAAATCTACCATCTAGAGATAAACACTGCTAATAAAAACATTGATGATAATGAATTATTTCTTTTCCAGGCACTTCCCAAAGCCAGGAAAAAAGTTCAGAGATAGATTTTTTTCTCTCCCATAGCAACGAATCTCTTTGGGGTATGAATGCATTAATCCTCAAGCAGCCCTCTGGTTTTCTGAGTAGATACCTCACCAAGGGGTCCTCTCTGCAGCTGGCCTACTCTGGTTCAGGCACTAGCTTTGCTTCACAATATAAAACAAGTTCTGGGTTGCCTCTCATCCTCCACAAGTGTACCTGAGCACACCCTGGGCACACTGGCAGTTTTTCAGCCAGCAGAGCCTAGGAGCAGGTAACTCTATCATGGGGCAGCACCCACTGAAGGCTCACCCTATGGTATAATACCAATTTCTGTAACCCAGCTTCTGGCGTTCCCAGGTGCAGATATGCTATAGAAAATGACAATCTCTGGACAGGACCTAATTCTTCCTCCATGATTCCTACACCAAGGAGCCATTATGAGGAAATATAGATGGTGCTTAAAGATTAAAAGCAAGGATACAAAAGAACTACCCTCTGGGACTTCCCTGGTGGTCCAGTGGTTAAGAATCCGCCTTCTAATGCAGGGGACTCAGGCCCAATCCCTGGTCCGGGAACTAAGATCCCACATGCCACAGGGCAACTAACCCCGTACGCTCTAGAGCCCGCGTGCCATAACTAGAGAGCTCGCGTGCTACAACTACTGAGCTCGCACACTCTGGAGCCCGTTTACCACAACTAGAGAGCCCACGTGCCACAACTAGAGAGTCTGTGCGCTGCAAATACTGAGCCCGCATGCCACAACTAGAGAGAAGCCCCATGTACCGCAACAAAAGGTCCCACATGCCACAACAAAGATACTACATGCCTCAACTAAGACCCAATGCAGCCAAATGAATAAATAAATATTTTTAAAAGAAAGAAAGAAAGAAATACCCTCTGACATGATCAAAAGCCAAACCATTGCGCTTAGCACTGGCTTTCTTTCAGTTTGTACCCTCAGCACCTACAATTAGGGATGGCCAAGTGATTACAGGAAACCCTGGTGCTGTGTTCTTCAGGTGTACACTAGAGATATTTAGTTTTGGATACCCAGCTCTCAGAGGGTTACTGTGTACTTGGGAATCAGCAGACTGTTTAATTCTGGTCTTCATTTATCTGTGTCCTTTGGCAAATCACCCAACCTCCCTGACCATACTTTCCCAATCTGTAAAGTGGGGTAATTCCAGCTACTTCACAGGCTTATGAAGATTAAAGACAGGAGAACATAAATTGCTTTGTGCAAATGCTAGACAGAGTAGTGATACTAGCTGAACCTGAACCTCAGACCTTAAGCCAGACTGGAAAGCTGTATTTTCAGATGCAAGTTCCCAGGAAAACCTGGAAACCAAATGTGGTCATTTTGTCAAGCTGGGCCTCTCTAGTCCATAGCTATCTGTCAGATCATCAGTAGGAAATTAGGAAGTAATGACAGTCTCTGGCAAGTAAATAACTGTGGGACAAGTGGCCCCAAATACTGTCAAGTAGCCTGATAGGCAATGGGTTCACTGGTATACATAATAGTTCTTAATAAACCAAGTTTGGAAGAAGACAAGTGCTCTCTTCAAACAAAATCATTCTGGGAAGTACCTCTCAGCATTCAGGACGCATCGTAAAAGACAAGTTTGAAGTAAGACATACAATCCCACCATACATACATTCAGAAGAATGACCCAAGACGCCTGCAGAATTCCCATAATTGACAAGGTCAAATATTCCTTGCTCAAGTCCAATATTTCAAACATATCACCTCTCACTTCTGCTTCTGCCTGTCTGCTCTCCAGACACAGCAGAAACACGAAAAATGTGAGTCTAGTTTCAAAAAACAAAGTCAAGGTAAAGACAGCAAGAGCTACTGCTTCAACTCTAGGTTAAAGAGGGTGCTTTCATCTCTTCCCATCAGAAACTCCCAGGACTATGAAAGCCAGAGCACGTACCATCCGAGCTGGGGCAGAGTTCTGCCTCTGTGTGAAGAGATCTTTACCCTCCTGCAGTCCATGAGCATGCAGGCAACCTCGAGATGCAGGTCTTACTGGCTTCTTAAACTCAAAGGCTTCCTGCAAGACGGTATAAATTGAGACATCATCCACTGTCTATGAAAACCAGCTCTAGGGTCTCAGCTATAGCTTCAGGAAACAAGCAAGGGAGTGGGTATTGATCACCTGCCTCCAAACCCATTTCTGATCTAATTCCAATACTGGATCTGTGTAATTAAGAATTTCAAAGATTCTGTCAAAAGCTAACTTCTAATACAGCACTTTTTTCTCTTACCACAAACACTTTATTTCCTAATAAACACATGAGTATCTGCCAGGTACACAAAACACTATAAGTTAAAAACTAAATCAACAACTGTCTATCAACTATACTTCAATTAAAAAAAAAAACTTTCTAGGGCTTCCCTGGTGGCACAGTGGTTGAGAGTCTGCCTGCCGATGCGGGGGACACAGGTTCATGCCCCGGGCCGGGAAGATCCCACATGCCGCGGAGCGGCTGCGCCCGTGAGCCATGGCCGCTGAGCCTGCGCGTCCGGAGCCTGTTGCTCCGCAACGGGAGAAGCCACAACAGTGAGAGGCCCGCATATCGCAAATAAAAAAAACTTTCTAAAATCGAAAGCAATTTCATTTCAATATAATTGAATAGGAATAAAAACTTTTCAGTCTAAACTTAAAAGAGGGCTTTATATTTTCCATCTTCTTCCTACCAATAGGAGATAATTAAGTGGAAAACACTGAAAGTTACTGCTTTCCATACTAAAAGCAATGGGGAAAAAAACTAACGACAACATAATGACTATAGCTAACACTTCTGGATGATAAGAGAGTAAATCCTAGGAGTCCTCATCACAAGGAGAAAAGTTTCCCCTTTTCCTTTCTTTTCCTTTTATTGTATCTATATGAGAAGATGGATGTTAGTTGAACCTACTGTGGTAATCATTTCACAATACATGTAAATCAAGCCATCATACTGTATGCCTTAACTTTACAGTGATAAATGTCAATTATTTCTCAATAAAACGAGAAAAAAAAACCAAAAACCGTTCTGGTTTATTCAACCACTTGGATGAATCTCACATAATGTTGAGTGAAAGCCAGAAGTGACAGAATACATACTGTATGATTCCATTTACTTAAAGTTTAATAGCACTAATAATTCCCCTACCCTAAAATATCCACTGAAGAACTTGTTAAGCACAGCTAACATCACAGAGTATTTACATGCCCATACAGTGCTTTCAGTGCATTAGCTCATTTATCCATCCGATCATCCCCACTTTAGAGATGATGAAACTAGGCCCATAGGTTAAGTGATGTGCCGAAGATCTGGCTTCATAACCCGACTGGACAACTCCAGAGCAAGAGCTCTTTAACCTATGCTGTTTCCCCTCCAGAATGAAGCTCTAAGCAGGCAACCCTGGGAGAAGCCAACCTGGGGTTGTGGGGACAGAGACCAGGCATGAGTACAATAGCATTAGACTGTTTGGTTAAATGTACTACCCAGAGGGAGACGTAGTGTTCTAAGCACTCAAGGCAGGAACTCATTTCTGTATCTCCCTCAGGACATCTTGCAAGTTGCCAAAGGAATCACTGGGAGAGTTCATGGAAGCAGTAGGTTCTGGAAGTATTAAGTCTGGAAGATTATAAGAAGTATGATATGGAAATAAATAGATATGGAAATACAGTGAGAAAGAAGACTGGGAAAGCTGAGCTGATTCACTGAACTCTTTTGGTGCCTACTCTGTGCAAGGGGCCCCGCCAGGTGTGAGAAAAGCCAGGCCAGGACGTTCTTGGACTTTTGGCTGCACCACCCCAACTCACCTTCTAAGCTACCATTTCAGTTACTCTGAGATCCCCTGGGACTTGCTGGCTCTGTTCTTTCAAATACTGTCAAGAAGCATTTCCCTAAACTTCTAACTCATCCCAGGGTCAGCACAAAGAGGCAAGGAAGGCCTGGCCAGACCCTTCCAGATAAAGTGTTCATGGATATAATTCCTACTCAGAGCTACCTTCTGAGCAACTCCTACCTGCCAGGAACCATTTGAAATGCTTTATCTACATTATCCTTATTTAATTCCCACAATAATCCTACAAGGGACTGTTACTCCTATTTCACAAAGAAACAAAGAAGGCTAAAAAAAAGCCAAAGTCACAGCCAGCAAGCAGTAGGATTCAAATCTAAGTTTTTCTGACTCCAAAGACCATCATGACTTTGGTGAAGGTTTAGTCTCCCAGGAAGCAGCCAGCCCAGCTACTTCTCCATAAGCCATGAACACTTGTGGGTTTGACCTGTGCCCCCAGGTGAGTAGATTAACGCCACACTCACGTTTTCCTTGTTCTCATCCTGGTCAATTAGCTGAAAGACATCATGGTCAAGAGAATCAGAATGGCTCCTCTTCAGAGCTGGGCTACACCCCAAGAGCTTCTGCTATTAAAGTGAAAAGAGGAATTAGGGTACATAAATGAAAATTCAATGGAAACTCAGTTCTAAAAGAAAAAACATATGGTGGTGGTGGGTTGGGGAGACCTAGCCCCTCATACACTGCAGTGGGTAACCAGTAAATGTGCCTAGGGCTCCACCTTGAGAGAACACAAGATAGAAGTTCCCACTACATGGATTTACACCTAACTTCACAACGTCTACAGCCCTCTCAGCAAGGACTTAGGTACCAAATCAACCCCAAAATAACATCACTTACATAAAAAGAACCCCCTTCCTGGTTGGATAAAACTCTAATAGTTAGAGATGGAAGAAAAAGCCCTCAAGAGGTAGCCATTATTGAAGTTGCTTTAGGTAGAGTGTTTTGAATGTTTATGAGACAAAGTAAGGAAAAGCAGTCTGTATAAATTAAGGTCTACTATCAAGGTTATACTGGTAGCTAAGGGGCAGATAATAGGTATTGGCTCAAAATAAACAAGGGAACTAACTTACAGGCAGAGAATTTATTCTCCTCATGGGATTTTCAAGGCTGTAATGAAATCAGAAAGTAAATAATGAGAATAAAGCAAGTAAAGAGGTATACATATTAGCAGATGCAAACCTATAGTTTGGTGGGGTGAGGGGAGAGTCAAACATTCCCATTTTAGGCAAGATGGAAAAATAGATTTCTGAAGCTGTCCTGTTCTCATAAGCATCTCCACCGCTGGGCTTCTAGTGAAAAAAGCAAGCCCAGGTCTTCTCTTAAAATATACACGTTCTAGGGCTTCTCTGGTGGCACAGTGGTTGAGAGGCTGCCTGCCGATGCAGGGGACACGGGTTCGGGTCCCGGTCCGGGAGGATCCCACATGCCACGGAGTGGTTGGGCCCGTGAGCCATGGCCGCTGGGCCTGAGCGTCCAGAGCCTGTGCTCCGCAACGGGAGAGGCCACAACAGTGAGAGGCCCGCGTACCACAAAAAAAATAAATAAATAAAGTTTTTCTAAACACAAATATTTAAAAGCAGTGAATACGTACTTTTCTTTACTATCCAAGGGCCCAGGAGAATCCAGACAGAAGCCTGTGGGAAATTCAAACAAACAAACAAAACACCTCTCAGGATTTAATACATGATGCACCACTTTGTCATTGAAATAAATAAATAAAACTACTAGTACTGTTTCTTTAAGGCCATCAACAAAGGCTCATGGCTTGGACTTTTGACAGAATTGAAGTTGAGTCTCCATGATTGCTAAAACTTTTGTAAAAGTCTAAATATTTTCATAGTATATCTACTCATCCTTTCCTACTTGCAAATAGCATCATGGAAAACAGGATTTGAGGAGAGTGAATTAAACCAAACCTCGTGACTTATTTACAAAACAGAAACAGACTCACAGATGTAGAAAACAAATTTATGTTACCAAAGGGGGAAAGAAGGAGGTGGAGGGGATAAATTAGGAGTTTGGGATTAGCAGATACAAACTACTACATATAAAATAGATAAACACCAAGGTCCTACTGTATAGCACAGGGAACGATATATATTCAATATCTTGTAATAACCTATAATGAAAAAGAACTATATATACGTATAACTAAATCACTTTGCTGTACACCAGAAACTAACACAACATTGTAAATCAACTATACTTCAATCAAAATAAAAAAAAGTTCCTAAACCAAACCTCATGATTGCTTCGTTATTCAGATAGAGGTTACCCAGGCTAACTTTCTGTGAGTTCCAACCACGGAAAGAATAGGTACCTGTTTTCTGGAATAGTTTTGGTTTCAAATATCTTATATCCTGTCAGATCATATGCACAACTCAGCGGGTTGGAAAATACAATTATGTTCTCTGACAAGCAAGGCAAGTATTTATTGCCTTCAACAAAATAACATAAAGTGAGGTGCTCAACTCACCAACGGCAGCAGAATAGAGGAGACACTGCTCAGCATGGCCCAGAGCCACCAGGGCCTGCCTAGCGCACACCTTTCCTCCACGATGTCTAAATAATCGTACAGGAAGTTAGGTGTTACTGCTCCTGACATTCTCCCTTGCCAAACTGCCACAATCCTATCCCTGGTTCTTAAGAAGCCTACATTTTAAGACTTTTGCTCTTGCAGTTCCCTAACCTAAAGCATCTGTGCAAATATACCTTGCAGTAACATGAACTTATGGATTACAATAAAATGCACTGGCACAGTTTCTCCATAGCAGGCTCACTGAAATAATTTCATTATATATCCAATAATTGACTCAGCATTTTAACCAATAAGATTTCCTGAATGCCACGTAGAGTGGTATGGTTAATTTCACACTATTACTCATCCTCAACACCAAGCACAAACCACCTCCCTGTGGCCACTTGACACGTTTCTTCTCTTCATAAACTGCCACAGGGGCTCCTTTGTACTGTTGTTAAGGGTGTTTGTAACTCAATGCCGGACTTTTCTGTTTACTATCTCAACTCACCAAACTAAGTTTCTAGGTGAAAGCGCACATTTCAGCAAATTCCAAGTATTGCTTCCCACACGGCAGACACATGATAAAAATGTTTAAGACTAAAAGAATACCTGAATCAGTTGATTCGGAGGAGCCCATTCTCTGCAGACAGCTATTCCTCACCTCCAGGGGCTGTTCATACTCACTGAAACCAAGAAAAGTAACACTCTCTATAGCTCTAGGACATAATTAAAAGGTTACATACAGGAGACAGGCCATGACATGGCAAGTTGCCATGCTGCCATCAACCATCATTACTTTCAGACCACACCACAGAACACTTGGCCACCCAGAACACCCAGTTAGCACTTGAGCATAAAAGGAGATGAGAAAAGAGTGGGTTAGCATGGTCTGGGTCACACTATAGGACAGGACGACAAAGAAGACTATTGGAGTATTTCCTGAAATGAGAGCATGTGTTCTAGGTACTGAGCTAGGAGCAGGGGTGAATAGGACAAGTTCCTGCTTTTCAGAGATTGGAAAAGACATGTGCTTATTTAGAAAATGTGACGTCCAAGATTGAAGAGAAAGCAGTTTCACCAGAAAAACGGTGGGATGCATTTTTTGCAATAAGGAAAACAGCAGGGAAATTTGTGGCATGGAAAGTTGAATAAAAAGACCTGGTCTTAGGAAAGCATCGGGGTGGACATCAGGAAGGTGCACGGGGCGAGGGATTGCGACGATTTTGCAAACGCCAGGAAAGAAAATGCCACGTCCCTTTGCTGAAAAGGAAACAAAGCTCACAGGATACTAAGCTCCTACGAGGTGGCTCAGCAAAGGGTGGAAGTGAGCGCCTAGGAGGGCCTGCTTTTCCCGCGTGGAGGGAGATTTCAAAGAGCTTCCTGGAATAGGGACAGAAGAGCACAGGGCAATCCGAAAGGGGTGGCGAAGGTGGGGAGTCGGGGCAGACCCACTCCCTACCGGGCCTGGCTCGGGGCTGAGGGCGGCCCTAGAGGGTCCGAACGGCCTCTCCCGCCCAACATTCGGCCTGGGGGGGGCGCGGGTGCACATGGCGGGCCCCCGCCGGTGGGGCCGCCCCCAAGCGGCGGACAGGCAGGTCTCGCTCCTCTCCCGGCCGGTTTCCCGGCCCGATCTACCCGAAAGCCGTCTGGGAGGCCAGCGGCCTGAGGCACCGCTCTTCGGTCCCTCCTCACCTGCCCAGTCCCTGCAGCTGGTCCATGGTGACCGTCAGGCTGGTGACAGGCGACAGGCCCCCGGCGGCTGGCGTGCTGAACAGCGCCTTCACGACGGGCTGCGGTGCGGGAGGGGGGCTGCAGGCGAAGAGCAGGCGGCGGCGGTGCGGGGGCTCCGGGCCCAGTTCCATGGCGGCGCCCTGCCTCCCAGGGATTCTGCTCCCTCTTCCTCCGCCTCTGCCGCGCCCGCCCCGCCCCGCCGGCACTGGCCTCGGCCGCGCGCCCCACTGCCGGCGCCCGCGGGTCAAACACAAACACGACCCCGCGGTTCAGGGACGCGGCTGCCGCGGGCAAGCGAAGAGGACGGGCGGGTGTCCGGACTCGGCAGGCGCCAGACACAGGCGCGAGCGCTTCCCCTCACTCCGCGAGGCCGGCGGGCGGGCGCCGGCAACCTGAAGATTAAATCCAAACAAGCGGGGCAGGTCTAGGAGGGAGAGCGGCTAGACCGCGAGGCCACGGCCCGGTCTCACACTCTCTTCACTCTTCTTTGACTCTCTTGCCCAGCCCGGGAGTGCTGAAAACCAGGCCGACCTTCACCTCCCTCCCGCGCTGTCGCTGCCGAGGTGGCCTTTCGCGGTAATAGCTGCTCACTAGGGCCTGCCAATGCCCCGCCCTCCCTTTCCTAGTTGGCGCCAAACGGAATCCACCAATCAGTAACCAGTTCTCCTCCTCGCACAGGAATGGCAGCTAGGCTGGACCAATGAGAGGGGAAGAAGGAAGCAGCTCGCGGGACTCCGCGAGGTCACCCCTCCTCAGAAAGGGGAGGGGCCTAGAGGGGACCTGAGCTCCTCTGAGCCAGAGTGGCTCGGAGGTCAATGAAAACTCCCAGCTGAACCTGCGAGGCGCCGGGGGAGACCGGAAGCCCCTCTTGACCCATTGCATGGTGGGAAGCGTAGTTCGCACAGCCAGCGGCAGTCCAGTCACTACTTACCCCCGTTAGGCCAAAGCTATATCGGCCGCCCGTCCCGCGCTCCGCAAACTGAGGAAATGTGGAGGGTGGAGAAGGCGGTCCGGGCCCTTCTCCCACCCTGGGCCTCCAGGCCCTAATTTTATCGCGAGAGAGGGAAGTGAATGACCCAAGGACTGGACGCTGCCTCCTGAACACCAGGGCCCAACTCTGGACCGCTGACTCCTGTCCAACAGGTAGTTCTGGCCATGAGCCGCTGACCACAAGACTTAACCCTACGGCCTGGACTGTGGGCCTCGGCATTGTTTGCTCACCTCCATTTTAGCTCTTGTATAATACTTTTCTCAGAATCATTTCCTTCTCTCCCACCCTTTCTTACCTCATTGGGATAGCAATACCGTAAATATAATAATAGCTAATGCTTATGTAGTGCTTAGGTCCCCGTGTTCCAAGGGCTTTATCTATTAATTCGTTTGATTCTTTTTTTAAAAATTTATTTATTTTTGGCTGCGTTGGGTCTTCGTTGCTGCGCGTGGGCTTTCTCGTTGTGGGGCGCGGGGGCTACTCTTCGTTGTGGTGCATGGGCTTCTCACTGCGGTGGCTTCTCGTTGCTCTAGGGCGCAGGCTCAGTAGTTGTGGCACATGGGCTCAGTAGTTGTGGCTCACGGGCTCTAGAGCGCAGGCTCAGTAGTTGTGGCACATGTGCTTAGTTGCTTCGAGGCATGTGGGATCTTCCTGGACCAGGGCTCGAACCCATGTCCCCTGCATTGGCAGACAGATTGTTAACCACTCTGCCACCAGGGAAGCCCTAATTCGTTTAATTCTTAAACAGTTCTGTGAGACAGGAATTGTCCCCATTTTATAGATGACCAGATTTGTTGTTATATCCTCTGTACCAGTGGCAACTCCTAGAATGAATGATTTTATGAGAGAGGCAGAGGTACAGCAATCAGTCCTTAAGAGGACTTGTCTTTAGATAGCATGTTTAGAGCAAATACTCTTGATTATTTAGATTGTATATTTATTTTAGGTGTCTGGTTGAGATTATGACCACTACCTCTGTTTTGGGCCTACCGTTAAATTCATTAAATATTTCTTTAAAAAGCTTTTGCTGGGGTGGAGGGATAAATTAGGAGGATGGGATTAACATATATACACTACTATATGTAAAATAGATAATGAACAAGGACCTACTGTATAGCACAGGAAACTATACTCAATATTTTGTAGTAACCTGTAAGGGAAAAGAATATGAAAAAGAATGTATATATGTATAACTAAATCACTGTGCTGTACATCTGAAACTAACATAACATTGTAAATCAACTATGCTTCAACTAAAAAAATAAATAAAAAGCTTTTGCTTTCAAAGGTTTGTATTATGCAAATAATACAAAATAATTATAGCCTTAGAAAATACAGATAGTTATAATTTTAAAAAATCATCCATAATTCTACCATCTTCAAAGAAACAATGGTCAACATTTTGAACTTTTTGTATGGACGTACACTATAATTATACAGTCAATATTTGTTTCATGGTTAAAGGAATGGAAAGTCCTTGCCCGAGCAGACATTTCCTGAATGGGATTTGCCCAAGTAGGTTGACATACTGAAGCATTTCCACCAGCAATCCAAGTATTGGAATGAAAACTGTGTCCGAAATGTTAGAGAACCTTTTTTGTTTTTCCTTTCTAAATGTTGTTGGGGACTTCCCTGGCGGTCCAGTGGCTAAGACTCCACGCTCCCAATGCAGGGGGCCTGGGTTCGATCCCTGGTCAGGGAACTGCATCCCACGTGCCGCAACTAAGAGTTCACATGCCGAAACTAAAGATCCCGCACACAGCAACAAAGATCCCAGTTTGTCGCAACTAAGACCCGGTGCAGCCAAATAAATCAATAAATATATAAATTTTTTTTTTAAAAGGTTGATGAAGTGTTGAGGATGACTTTTTTTTTTTTTTAAGGTTTGCGTCCATGGATTGTGAAATAAAAGCAAAAGAAAAGGAATAATTTAACCAAACCCTTTTCCCCATTCACTCAGGAATGCTCTCCAAAGTCCTGGAGCAGCTCTGGGGGGAAGGGAAGAGACCTGCGCTGTGAATTGAGAGGTCTGAATTCTAATGTAGCTCTGCTTTGGGGCAAGTCGATTTTTGTTCACTCGTTCATTCAGTCTCTACTGTGAGCCTACCAATTTGCCAGATCCAAACAGACAGGGTTAATGCTTCCTTAGAGATTTGCCCGGAATACTCTTCTTCACTCAGCTAACACCCACCCTTTTAAGAAAGCTCTACCGTCAGATACTGTCACTGACACATTCCCCTGTTACCATCCACATTCCAGGCACCACATGTTTACACTGGTTTCTGTGATAATTTAATGCCCCCCCAAAAAAGATAATAAACGCAAAAGGATAGGGACCCCCCCCCTTTCGTTTTCTCTACTCTAGTGCCTGATTCAGGGAAACCCTCAGCACATAATAGATCGAATACATGCTGCGAAGAAAAAGTGTGACTGCTTTGAGAGTGTTTAAGAAGGGAATTTAATCTGGTGTGGTATTGTCAGGGAATCTCTGAGGAAGTGTCCGGGAGGATAAGTCCTTAGGAGGTGGAAGAAAGCGTGTTCTGGGCAGAGGGACAGAACCTAAGCAAAATCTCTGAGGCTGGGAGGAGTCCCCCCCTCCCCACCTTGTGGCAGAGAACGAGGGGGAGGGGTTGTTGCAGAGGGCACAGACTCTGCAGGGGCTTGTAGACCACATTCTGCAAATTTATCTCAAGGGCAATGGGAAATAATTGAAAGGTTTACATTTATATTTGAAAAAGATAACCCTGGCTGATTTAATATTTTACATGTGCCCATTCTTCTTTCACCCACCTGTGCTGTTAGCCAGATTGGATTTATTCTGCATGGTTACCTGAGGCAGTGTGAGCCTCCCTGGAGGTTTCAGATTAACACTGAAAAGGAAAGTCAGAACTAACAAAGCTTTCCAAGGTGGAATGAGCAGTCCACAAGTCTGTATCACCAGGGTCTTATTGCTGTGGGGGTGAGGAGTACCTAGCATCGAGGGTTCCCAGATCCTAGTTCTACATTACAGTTATCTGGGGAGTTTTGACTTTTACTTAGTTATTTATTTACTGAGTTCGCAATCCATTTACATGGGACAAATTCAAATGATACCAAAAAAGGCCTAGACAAAATCTCCCTCCCATCCCTGTCTACCCTGTTTCCTCCCCGTTGGTCATCACTGGCCAGCTTTGTGTGTGTGTGTCTCCTGGAGCCTGTGTCTGTGCTAACAAGTGCATGTACATATTCCGCCACACATACTTTTCATTTTTCATAGACGGCAACAATATGTTATAAACACTGTCCTGAATCTCGCTTTTTTCCACTTCATATATCTTGGAGTTGGTTCCATATTAACAGATAAATTTCCTCTTTTTTTTTTTTTATTGCTACCAGTTTGGGGAGCTTATTTGAAAATAGAGATTCTCTGGTCTCCCTTGGATATTTTGACTTCATAGGCTTGGTGTAGGGCCCTGCCTGGAATCTGTATAATCAGAAAGCTCTATGAATTGTTCTGAAACACAGGTTTGGGAACCACTTAACTGAATGACTTTTAAGGCCACTGAATTCCAGAGATCCCACACATTATTCTAATACATAATTTGTGTTTATCCTGGTTTGTGCTGGGTAACAAGCTCTGTAGGATGGTATTCTGAGCACAGGCTAAATCTTGTCTCATGGTTAAATGTCTGCTCTGGGATAACAAACTTTTCTAGCAGAAACCGCACCCCCACCCCTGCCCATTCTTTCGTGGGTGCTTCCTGAACAGTGAAACCCACCCCCAGTACTTTTTTGGCCTCCTGCGTTACGGCAGAGAACTCCCAAATTCCCGTTACTGATAGGAATATCTCGCCTGAATTCCTGCCCCACATCTGAATTCACCTAGAATGGCCCGCCGGCAACTCACAACTCTACTTACCTCAAGTCCACTTACTTCTCTTTCCTTCCTAACCGGACTTGTGACCCTGCCTAGTGCCCTTGGCAGGAAAAGGCACCTTCACCTGCCTGTTCTTCCCCCGCTGCTGACCTGATCTGGCTGGACTCCCAAGCCCTTGACCCCTAAATGCTCTTTCTAAATGCAAATCTGATCTCCTCTCACCCTCTGTTTGAAGCCCTTTCCTGTAACCCCCCAACTGCTTAAAGCAGGGACTTCCATACGTTTTGGACCCATGACCTGGAACACACATATCAAAAAGTTTTCAATGCATCATTTACTCAGTACTACCTGTAATACACTGTTTTCTCTTTTATTTTTGTGACTTAAAAATCCTAGCTATGAAAAAATTTGAAATTTTTAAAAAATCCTAGTTATGAATCCCTAAAATAAATGTGTTATGATGGCCTGTGACCTACACTTTGAAAAGCAGTGGCCGATAGGCTCAGTAAGCTAATAATGGTGTCAGCAGGACTCCTTTCATCTTAAAAGCTGTATGAAAAAATAAAGTGGGAATTCTCGGGCAGTCCAGTGGTTAGGACTCGGCGGTTTCACTGCCGTGGCCTGAGTTCAATCCCTGGTCAGGAACTAAGATTCCTCAAGCTGCTCACAGAGCGGCCCCCCAAAAAAATCTCAGAAAAATTCCTTCCCATTCCTCTTGTTTTGTGTAGTTTAT